TCCACAAAGCATTTCCTGGGTCATTTATCACTGTCTTCCCTACATACTGGCTTTATGATTTTTTAAAAATGTATTTCAGTGTCTCCATTATCTTAGCAATTATTACTGATTTTCTGAATATTTTGTGCAGCCTATATCCAGTCTTAATGTAGCACAAAAGTTTACATTTCCTTGACTCTGTCCTTTCATTTTAGATTTTTCTATGATTTGCTCAAAGAAAGACATAGAGTTGTCCAACGTCACACTGCCACTCTTAACGAGTGCTACATAGCAGGAAAAACTTTGGCATCAGACATGATTTTGGCACCAGCTCTTACTAGCCAGTGTGACCTAAGTTTGCTCAACTTCAGTTGGGAATAACAATGATGTCAACATCCTTAGGTTGTTGTCAGGTTTAAATAAGATAACAGAAACATAAGATGCCTGGTCTGGTGGCTGAGTCAGTGTTGATGCACACACTAATGGCAGCAACAGCTGAAAGCCTCATCTGATTTTATTTTTACCTTTTCCCACCTAAATTTACCTCACTCAAAGTATTGTCTACTACTTTCTCTCCTCCCTACGTCCACTATCTAATTTGAGATCAGTATGCCTTGTACAACATTCATGTATATTTTCATGATAAATACTATGTTTCTTGTATTATCTTTTAATTTTATTTTATATTTTCAAGAACTGCTCCATTTAGTCTTTTTCAGCATTTGTAATGTGCCACTTTTCTAATTTTAACATGTGGTTGAACCGGCAGTAACACTCCTTAAATATTGATACCCCCTTCCCTTTGTGTTCAAGTGGCTAGGATATAATACTACTGCCTATACTGTGAGTCCATTTTTTTGTTTGCAAAATTAATCTCAATTTATAAGCAAACTGTTTATAAAATGATTATTTTCTACTTCACTGGTCTTTAGATATAACATCAATAATTCAATAATCTACTTTATGGCATTACATTTATTACTCTCAGCTAATCTCAACTATGTGTTTTCACCAACATGACTTTTTGCTACATTGTATGGATATTGTTCTGTTTTATCTCTAAATATTTCATCCACTTGTTTCCTAAAATTCACATCACAGAGGCAGTGACTTTGTCATGGTTCCCTGTTTTCTTAATAGTCAACTGGCACTCAGTCAACATTCTCATTGAGTACCTTATCTATGAAGGGAAACAAAGAAATTGCCCTTGCCCTGCAGGAGTGTCCAGTCTAGAGCAAATGATGAGTATACCGACAGTGACTTGTCCTGGTGGGTCAGCTGCTATGTGAGGTGTAGGTAACTTCCTACGGGAACACAGAACCCAGACTTGGAGCAGGAGAAGTTAACAGATGAAAGGAAACCCATACAAATTTCTCTGACTTAAAGCCTTCATTTTGCAAGCTCTCTTATCATTCAGTATATCAACACAGTGTTCATATTAGGTCTTTAAAAGCAGGGATGTCATAGATCTTCTGAGGCATTTTCTTCCTGCACATGCTTTTTGGGGGAAAAACTCAACATAGCCAAAAAAATACGTAGTCTGTTATCTCTGAGAGAAAACTCAGGTCAGATTCCTTCCATAATCTGCCACAGCTAATGAAACACTGTCATAGAGAGAAACTGATTGGCCAATGAAAACCAATAAAAATAATAGGATGGAATTGGATAAGCATAGGACAAAATGCCTGATGTGAACTGTACTGACCTCTGATTAATCACATGGGACAACTATAAAACCAGATGTTCCAATGACCAAAGGAACGTATTTAGTCTGATTCATTGTAACTCTTAAAAACCATCCAAGGAGAAAGACCAGTTAGGATATTGATATTCACATGCATGACATGTGAATATGTCGGCCCATGACAACAATGTACATTTTCATTCTACATATGTACGATTATGAGTTCTTTACTCAAACTATACCCTGATGTTTGTGCTTCCAGAGGAGCGTTCTTATCAAACCCATCAAATTGTTGTCCCATGTTACCAAGAAATAAATTCAGTACCCACATCTCCTCAAAGATTTTCATTTTACTGCCTCTTTGATTTGTACAGCGGATATATCTGTACTATTAAAGCGGCACACACCATACACCCCTCTCTGCTCACTAAGACTCCACCTGCTTACAAAAATGTTTCCCTTCTTCTCCGGAAGAATAGGTGCTTAAGGAAGATTTGTGTAAATAACTTAATGAACTTATTAAATAATACCATTCTATATCAAGAGGGCTGTTTACACTGGTATTAATCAAATTCCTTATTTACAACATTATAATTTTCTTGTGTTTAGATGAGATTGATAGATTTAAAATAGCTTTAAAAAAGTCAGTGAGATAGCAAAACCAAATAAGTGGTGGCAAGAATTCAGAAGGGGAATTGTTTCTTTTTAATAGCCTTTTGCTATGTTTACTGATACTTCTTACATTGTGCCATATTCTCCCAGCTTTATTGGAGTACAATTTAATTAGTCCATGTTTAAGGATTACTGAGTAGCTTTTCCTGGTCTGAGTAAATCAATGCTAAAGCACCTAACTTCTTCTCAATGAGAAGCTTGGTATTTGGGAGACTCACCCTCCATCTCTTTACTAAATCGCACTTAGCAAGATTTCATTCTATAATTTTTCTCATTATTAACTGGTTGTATTCTCCTCTTTCTAAAATATACGTATTATTTCTATAAGTGATGTTGCAAAATTCCCTTTTAAGAGCTTTATCACTGAGATATTTACATGAACAGAAATGCAAATGTATTTTTAGTATTAGACCAAAAGGTTTCCTTTTAATATTTTAAGGAGATTTTAAGATAGTGCGTTCTTCAAAATAGCAAAAGAAAAAGAACACTTCACATGGTGTCTATGAGAAACTCATCGTACCAGTTAGAAAATGTCAGAGTTTACTATGGCTGGTAAAACATTGAAGTCTCAAAGAAATTTGCATTATTTCTTGATATTGAAATTTTTTTATTATATGATTTTTAATTAATTCATCCTCATATTTTACTTGCTTTGGGCAAGTTTAAATGTTGTGCAGTCTTACATTTGTAATTTGTGAGCTTACATTTGATAATGGCACCTGTAATGAAGAAGTACTTAATTGCTGTTTCTTTCTTGACATGAATGGCTTCATCTGAACGGAAGATCAAGTTCAATAAGCTATAAAGTGGTTCTCAGAATGTACTTCAACGATGGGCCAAAACATTCACTTTTTCTGTTTCTTTCTATCATAAAATATTAAAATCAGAGCAAATAAAAGCTCTAGAATAAAGTGGAAATGCTACTGTTCCATGTGGATGTTTTTTGCCTTTGGGGATTAGGATTCTTCAGAGCATTTAATAGTGGATATCTAAGGCGATGCTTCTCAAAGTGTGACCCCCAAACCATTAGCACTTGCATCATCTGGGAACTTGGGGAAATGTACATTCTCAGGCCCCACTCCATACTACTGATTCAGTAGCCTGTGCTTTAACAAGCCCTCCAGGTAATTCTGACACCAGCTAAAGTTTAAGAACCACTGCTGTGACACTTTGCTATTCAAAGTGTGGTCCATGGATTGGCAGGAGCACCTGGACCCTTATTAGAAATGCAGGACATCAGGATGTCAGAAACAGGACCTGCATTTTAACAAGGTACCCAGGTGATCCTTACGCATATTAAAATCTGATAGCCACTGCTCTAAGGGTTAAATCAAGAAACTTACCAGTGGGAGAGTAGCCTCTATTCAGAGGTTGTCAAAAAAGACCTCAATAGATACTTTACATTTATATATTGCCTCTCAGTTCCCTCTGTAATAAAAAAGGGGGAAGAAATGTATAAACCTCTTGGCTGCAATGTTCAAAAAATGCATAAAGGTAAACTGTGTCTATAGTATGAGTTGGGGAGCAGAACTATTATCTGGGTAGCAGAGCTATTATCTATGTAATAAATCATATGTGTGTATATACATATATACATATGCACATGCATCTACATACTTATATACATGTACACATATCCTACAATGACCTAGAAATATTAGGTGAATATAGTTTTCAGATCTAAATTATTTTGAAAATTCAATTTTTTAATTCAGTTTTCATGTACAAATAAATCTAAGATATGTTTTTTTGCCTTTTTTGTTTGTTTTGCATCTTTTTATCTTAGATTACTTTCTACCTTTGAATTTAATTTTCTGTAGGAATCTCTTTAGAAAGCGGAGGAGGTTACAAACTTTCAAAGCTCTGTCTCATCCCGACAGAGTGATTGTAACTATGCTAAGGAATCAGTAAGACAAAGCTGTCTGTGGAAGTAAGGAAGTTTGCCTCTTTCCAAGGATTTGGCCTTTTGCACTGACTACTGGTAGATCCAGTGGACTGGGAGAACAAGAATAGTTCACCAAGTAAAATCTTATTTGTAAAAATATTTTTAACATAGAAACACATGAAAATTAAAGGATTTTTAAAATCCTTTGAAATCTTTGCACAACAAACACCCCCGTATGTAAATAGGACTGTCACTCGGTGTTTGTCCACAACTAGAGCTCCAGATGAACCAGTGTAGTGCGCGGTGACAGGAACAGCTGACTCATTAGCAGAGAGCAGTGAAAGGTAATTAACCCTGGGAAAAGTACAGCTGCCGTGCGGGCTGTTCCTTTCTGTAGGATCTGATTAGAAATTAGTGTTAAACCACTGATTCTTTTTTTTTTTTTTTAAGACTTTCACTCTCAGGTGTGTCCCTAGAAAAGGTTCTCAAATGTATTTATATACAAAAGGGCTCAAATCTAAAAAACATTTTCTGATAACAGTAGACACCTGTTTTCTTGTTGAGGGGGAGTTATTTTGAATGAATACTATGTTTGACTATTCAAGATTGCTCGTACCCCAACCCATACTCCAATAGTCAGTATGTAAATTACTTGAAAGGATTGTTTTATATAGTTAATAAGCTGTAGATAATTGCCATTTAATTAAGTTTTCTCTTCTTTCTTTCTATTTTTCCTCTGACGATGTTTCTCATCAGTAGCAATGGAAACTTTCCAGTTCAAATCCAATGAATATTAGGGAAGGTAAGTAAAGACTATTTAAAAATAAACTTTACCCCCAAAGAGAAAAGATTCCTAACTTTTCGACAGCCTTTGAAAACTTGAGAAGTTAAGAACTTGGTTTTAGGGAACAACTAAAGATGTTCAATTTTTTTAGTGTTGGTATCATCACGCTAATTTGCAATTTTTTTTTTTGAGGAGTGCATACGCTTGCTCATCCTGATTGTGATGTCACATGGCTCATATGAAGAGCATTAATACCTTAACCCAGTTAGAATTCATATATGTAGCTAAAGAATGTGGTAGACAGAATAATGTTTCCCCTTCCCCCAAGGGAAGTCTGTGTCCTAATTCCTGAACCCTGTGGATATGTTACCTTACAAAGCAAAAGGAGGGTGATGAGATTAAGAATTTAGTGATGGGAAATTATGTTGAATTATCCAGGTAGGCTCAATTAGTCATATATTCCATAAGAGAGGGTAGCAGAATGAGTCAGGGAGATGCCACATGAGAAAAACTCAACTCAACCCACCATTGCTGGCTTTGAAGACAGAGGAACAGAGCCATGAGCCAAGGAATTCAGCCACCTCTAGAAACTGAAAATGGAACGGCTCTCAGTTTACAGCCAGCAAGAAAACAGGGACCTCAGTCCTGTAACAGCAAGGAACTGGAGTCTGCCAACAGCCCAAATGAGCAAGGAAATGAATTCTTTCTGCCTCCAGAAAGGAGTGCAGCCTGATTTGGTTTTAGCCTAGTGAGAGTGTACCAGACTGTGGGCCTACAGAGCCATAAGAGAATATATTTGTGTTGTTTTAAGTCCTTAAATTTTTAGAAATTTGTTACAGCAGCAATAAATAACTAATACAGCAGATGAGACACCCAGTAGATGGGATACATTTTACAGCTGGAAATATAAATCCAGTGAAGACTTTCCTGTGTGTGAACAAAGAGGAGAAAAAATTTCTCAAAAGACCAAGACTGATACAGTCTTTAGAAGTTAGAATATTCATTTTTAGATCCTAGAGATGTTTACCACCAACTCTGAGAATTCCATCTTTCACTTTGCCACACCCCCCCCACAAAACCCGTCCTACACACACACACACACACACGCACACACTTCTCCACATGATATTTTTGTAAACACAGTGTATCATTCAAGGTGCAAATGAATACATAGCTTTATTGGAGTGTTTAGTGAGACTGTGTTTTACTGAGTAAAGGCGAGTAGAGTGGAATGTCAGTGGATGGAAGGCAAGGTTCCTGCTGCAGAAAGAAAGCTGATCTGACAGTCCCAAAGTATGCTGAGCCCAATGCTTAAAAGCAGACGGTTATCATGTGGAGTCTGGTTCTACCTCCTGCTACCTGTGTGAACACTGGGTAAGGTAGTGAGCTCACTTGGTTTCCTTTCTTCACATGTACAACTGCTAATACCTCCTTATAGACCCATCATGATGACTAAGGAAAAGTGCTTGTGAGTACTCACACTAGTCCCTGTCACTTGGTAAGACTGCAGTAAAGGTGAGCTAAATTTATTTAGAAAGCACTTTGTCACTTTACTATTTTGATAAAAATAGTAGATTACTTTTGTCTTTCCTTGTGGCGAGTGCCATCTTACCTCCAAAACAAGTCTTCAATTTACAGCATATGAATAAACCTTGGTTAAAATAAAATGTTTGAGTGCATAATAGTCAGGACATTCTGGCACATTACAAGTAAGAAAAGTGAGGGATTAAAAACTAGGAACTGGATCTAGTTTAAACAAATTAGAGATCTTCCTAGACGGTTTTCTTGCCAAATTTGAAAAAAAAAAAAAAGACTATATTCTAATTTTATCTTTGGCTTTTATTCTCACAAAAGGGCCAATTTAAATCATAAACTATAATTTTTCATATAAATTCGATAAAAGTAGACATTAGGGAAAATCTGGCCATAAATTCCATTACATTTCATGCTTGTTCTCCTTTGCATTTGGGGATCTGACATTTCAACTTAGGGGAAGACAAAAGTGTAAAGTCTCCTTAGCTGGCATAGCAGTCAGACAAAAATCTATAGAGTCCCAGACGCTATGCGTCTGGGATGTTTTGTATTAAAATACAATTTATAGAACACTATCTCAAGCGTCAGAAGAGTATTATTTTTGGCTTACTTAATTCAATAACCCTGTATTGAGCACCTACTCTGTCCACAGCATTACGTTATAGTGAAAGGACAGTAAGGCACAGCCTCTCACTTCCATGAGCTATACTGGCATGGAGAAGATCAGATGGACGTGAGTGAGGTAATATCAGGCACAACAGAGAAATCAAGATGAAGGTTCCATCAAAACCCTACTGGGATCCAGAGTTCTGTGAGATGCTCTCACTTAATCCACTACATGAGTGACAAATCACTTTTTTGCAGAAAGAGTTTGCAGTTCTGACACTGAAGGGGAAAGTTCCTTGGAAAGTTACAAATGAACAGATTCTAAGCATTTAATTTTAATTATTTAATTTTGACCATCCAGTCTCTTAATTTTAGCTATTTAATTTTGACCATCAAGTCTCCTTTGACCCTTATGTAACTATAGAAAAATATGGCTTTAATACATGGTCAGCCAGGCCAACTACAATTTCAACTATTTGTATCTTTCCAATTGACCTTTGGGACATTTATTTATTTTAGTCAAAGTTCTCTAAATCTCTCTAGGGATGAATTCTTGAGGAAACATCATTTTCTACAAGCTTATCCAATCTGGTCCCACTGTGCCTCTGCCTCCCTCAATAATTAGGCTTTCCACATCTCACTGGAATCCTCAATTGCCTGGTTTGTACTTGTGACGACAAGAGTTGCACTTCATATATCTTTACATGCTCACTGTTTGGCATGGAGCAATCCATTGGTTGATGTTCAATAAATGTGCATTAAACCAGTAATAACTAAATTTTTTAGAAGGATACTTTTATTAAAAGAATCTGTTTAAATTAAGCATTGCATTGAGAATAAAATCCAAGGTCATTCTGCAAAAATCCAATGTGCCATTGGCCTCAACAATTGAGGCTCATGTCAATTTTTTTTGGTAAGTTTCAGTAGATTCTCCTATTCTATTTTTAGTAGTCAGGTGATGAAGATAAATGACCTTATTCTTTTAATTTAAATTTACAGAATATGGTGAAGATATTTATGAAAAATAGTTACTGTTGGGAAAAACAGCAGACTTGCTAGAAAAAAAATCTAAAAATCTCTTTAAAATGGATCAGGAAAATGAAAAATGTCTAAGCCTAAATATCAAGCATACTGTGTAACAATCTATATAGTAAAATAGACTAAGTAGAGAAATTTCCCTTTACATAATAAAAATTCTGATTTTTGAATCAACAAGTGCTCTTTGAACTTTATTACAAATGTTTTGACATTATAAGATTATTTAGTATAGTTACTCAAAATAGCACATCCAGTGTTGCAACACAAGCCTTGAAGTTAAGTGGTTAGTTTAATAAAACAGAGTTTCCATAGTTACCACAGGAGAACAGAGGATAACTTTTATTTCTTTGGCAGTCAGGAAGGAGCTTTAGAAAAAAGATGAAGCAAACAGATCCAAGCAGCTTCATTATGGGGAACTTTGCACCTGATTGGCTTTTAAAAGAGGAAACTCTTGATATTACAGGAAATTAAACTTTGTCCCACTTAAATGTATAGCAGCTCATTAAGAAATATGAACACTTCCTTTCTCTGGGCATTTGAATGAGATTTTGAGTCAGAGGGAAAGCTAGCTTAATAAGATATCCCTATGAGATATATTTTTGCTCAAGGTGTTACCTTAATAAACCATCCAATAAAACAAGTGGTTAAAAATGCCATTTTAGAAGATGGCGGTGCCATCTTCTAGATGCTTTACAGGGCAGAGCATACAATCTTGGGGCTAACATTTTGTCGAAAGGCCTGATGGAGGGGAAGTGGAAGCCCATGCTGGTGAAGAAGTCTCTTTGTGCCAGCTTCATTGTTTTCTCAGTGTTGCGTTGAGATGTGCTCTCTCGGAGTGCTAACGGAGGTCACTTTCGGCGTTGTCCTCTGCTGTGTTTGCCCAAGGAGTTCTTCACAGTTGACTGTTGAGAAACAAAATGATGTGGTTTCAAGTATCTCACCTTCAGCTCCTGAGCCTTTAAAGCAGCAGTGATTAACAGGACTTTTACAAAGTTTCTATGTAGTTACAAGGACAGTTTCAATCTTCTGTCATTTTTTTGCATTAGCTATGATTATGCTTTTACCACAAAAATGCATTTGTTTTAAAGGTAACAATACAGACTAGGAGAATAGCTTATGTTTCATCTATATTTATCAGCACTCACTGTACATTTGTGTCTTCATTACCAGGAAATATTAAGGGACATTGTGCCATCTATTCCTGTTTACAGTTTATTATGCAGAGATAGGAAACACTTAGCATGTAAAATGAATGTAGAAATTATTCCTGGATAGAAACACGGACATTTCCCACTCGTTGGCTCTTTCTCCTCCATCACCGGATCAGAGTGTAATTGTCAGTAATCAGGCCTGCTTGCCGCTGATAAAACCACTCTGAATGCTAGCAGCCTTCTTTGTGTGATGACTCAATTATTCCAGAAGTGCCTCATCAAATCTGCCCCATCAGCTGGGCTAATAAATAAGGAGAAGAAACTGGCCCCCCAAAGCAAATTATAAATCCATTTGCATTAACCATTTCGCTGGTCCATGATCTAGGCAGAAATAAGCATGGCAGATTGTGTTAAGCTTATTTGAATATGTTTATAATGTTTACAGCATGCAACTTTTTTTTTTCCCACAAGGTGTTGGAATTATCAGTCATGAATGGCATCTAAATGCAGTTATGTTAATTGCGGCAAGGCTTTAAGTATCTTTGAGGGCTATTTTGTTACTTAAATCAGGTGAAAGTTAAATCCTCTTGCAGGGAGAAATATGGGTGTTGCACAAGTTTTTGGCATTGCTTTCTAGTTCAAGGAGAAGAGGCTTGTGTTTAATTTTTGCCTGTACTGGAAGGACAAATACAAATACTATAGTGACTGCTGGTACAAGTACAATTACTTCATATCTATCACAGTGGAAACCAGAAGTTATTTTGATGCTCTGTATGACTTCAGTAATTTGCAAAGCAAAAATTGCATTTTCTGGGAGGAGATCAGAGTTGCCATAGCACTCCTTGTACTTAAAATTCCTTGAAAGATTCTAGAGGACAGAGATTTCAAAAAGCCAGGCAAACCAGTAAAAATCAATTAAATCCATTCATGGAAATTTTGTACATTGACAAATCTTATTTTTATTCTTTTAAAATGACAAACTCTGCTGAATAACAAGAAGGCTTTTTTTTTTTTTTTTTTTTTTGAGTATTTGAACTTCAGTCATCAGTCAGGGAAGCAAAAAACTGTTCAAAATGGATCATGAAAGGCGATTTCATTGCCAATATCAAAGAATCAGTCTTGTTGAATATGTAATGATTGAAAATCCAGACATTCTCCCTGAAAGTAAGCAATACCATTGACCCAATTTGCCAAAGGAGCTGGTTTTCCTGCAGAGTAGTATCAGTTTTGCTGAAGCTCTTTTCTCTACCACTGCTGTGATCAGGAGTTGAATAGAGGCTGATGGTAAAAGTAAAGCTTGTGGCCAATAAACAGTATTTTTCTTTTCCTAAACCAACTTAAAAGAAACTCACTACTTCTCTTCATTGGCTCCAGCCAACGAAGCATATCCCCTAATATCAACCTGGAGAGTTAGGCAGAAGAAAGCCGTCTGTCTTTGACAACGTAAATATACATTGGCGATAGGCTGACATAATTTTTATGTGCCAATTTTTATATATGCAATCTCTAACTATGACAGAAAAATCAATTCTATAGTTCATTGATTAGAAATTCAAAAGTAGGGGGTTTGGAGTTTCATTAGACATTTAATGGAGCTACATGGCAACTGAGAAAATAAGGAACTTGATTGTCCAGGTTATCATTAAGGTTTCTACAAAATGTGACTCTAAGTTAAAACAACTGCCGATTCATATAAAAATAAACTTGGAAACTATAGACTGTAAAGGACTTGCTTTAGCATTCAAAAAAGTAAACTGAGCCAGGATAACCTTACCCCCTCCTTTCTCATCATTCTACCTGATGAACAATTGTTGAAGATTTTAATCTTTGAAAAATGGTTAGGAGATTAAGACTGTTAGAAGTTGTGGAGACATGGCCTCAAAGGATAGCAGTGCTAGGGTAAATATGCTGGCATTCTTCTGTTTTTATCTTACTCTTTAAGAAACTAACTCTGAGAGTGGTCTCTGCAGCCTGTATTAACATTTTAAACTTCCGAGAAGATCCTGCCATACATTCCATCCTGACTGAAATACAACACTCTGGTTCCATTGGTGAGAAATTCCAAAGAGATTGGTGGTTGTGGTGAGCTCCTTTTAGTTATTAGTTAAAGGGCTACAAGTGTGACATACCTTTCTTATTAAATTTATTAGCTCTATCATTAGATTTTTTACTTTGAGTGTAGTTCAGAGGATTTAAAAAAAAAATATATTGTGTTTTTTGGAACCACAAATACATCTGTGGTTTTCTCTTTAAGGATACAACTGATATACACATCATATCACTTTAGGTCATTCACTCCCTCCCGCCCCCAGACCTCCAATAGAACATAGTCAGGTATACCCTTTTAAAAAATAACACAGCAGATTCATTCTAATGCATCATTGGTTGAAGGAACTGTCTTTTTCAGAAGTAAGTAGTCACCCATGAAGCAGCTGTAAAGAACTGAGAGGCCCTAATTATTGGCATATAGTAAAGCAGACAAATGAAGTACTTTGTGATGACTCCATTTAACAAGTAAAGCCATGTCTTAATTAGACAGCACATTTGAGGACCGTGTAGCCCATTAGGCTACTAACACTTTGGTAATTGTCATCTGGTTTTATCTTTTAAGATTGCTGTTTCATAAAAATGTGAGCTTTAATGAAAAAGTGTTCATCCTAGTAGTGGGGCTAGAACTAATGGTCTTGCCAGTTGTGGGAACTTGGTCAAGATTCCAAGTCTTAACAGTTCTAGAATGTCTGTTTTCTATGAATATATTAGTAAGTCCTGAAGTTTTACAAAATGATTCAAGATCAGTGAAAGAGACTGAAGTATGGCAGTTAATAAAAGTGGGTTTTTAAAGGTATTCTCTCGCTGTACTAATAGGACACATGTAAGGAACAGAGGGAACCAATTTCTGTGGAAGATTCCTTTTGGTAGCAGCCAAGAGTGCATTTCCAAAAAGCGGGGTTGGAGGGGGGCCTGGGGGTGGAGTTATTAATGATAGACACATGGGATGGGGAGCCTCTAAAGGGCTTGAATTTCCCATTTGTATTTTGGTGTACTTGGACTTCTCAAACCCCTTTGTGTCAAATCATATTTCTAAACTTATATTTTGCTGGCGCCCTCTGTGCACTTCTCCAAGTTGATCTCAGCTGTGCTGCCTTAACTCTCCTCCCTAGGGAGGGGAGAGACAGCAGATGGGGTTAGGGCAGAGGGCTGATGCATCTGACAGCAAACGGCCGGGTTGTTGAGTGGAAGCTGCAAGCGTCAGGAAGCTACTTTTCCCCTGAGAACCAACTAACCACTGAAGAAAGTTGAAAATGAGCCCTTTGAGAAACGCTATTAAAAGTAGTAAAAAATTGCAATTGTGCAGATGATGTGCTGCTGTGTGCTTATTCGGATGCTAATGAGTTTGACATTAGGGAACTCAGAGGGTTTACAGCTACTCCCTTATGTGATTCAGTTCTTTATTGGCAATCTTTGAGAAAATAAATGGAAAATGTATTGCTAATAAATACATAACACGATAGGGTATTAGACAAAAAGCCATTACTTTCAGGATTTAGAAAGAGCTTTGCTCACCAGTGTGACTGTTTTCCAGGATCTTTTGTTTTAGGTTAGAGTGTGGCAAACAAAAGGGAATAGGCAGGTGGAAAGCTTCGGGACTCTTTCTGAACTGAGAGTGAAGTAGAATCAGCCAAATGCCATTTGTACAGAATGACTTTTTTTTTTTTCCCCAGTTGCACTCAAACACAAACTAAGAATTCCCAAGCTCCTGTGCCCCTTTCCAATTCTGACATCATGTTCAATAATCTGCTCTATCACTTGATAGAGTTTTATACCTATTTTCCCCAGGAACTACAGTTGATGACTTGAGTTGAAGAAGATCTGCTTAATGTCTGGTCAAAGCTTACAAGCAATACAGAAATCTATGGTTAAAAAGCCACGCACTTCAATCTACTGCAAGGGGTAAAATACAGGAAGATAGAAATCTTCTGCAAGGAAGGTTGGTAGCTTGTGTTTTAAAATACCAGAACTGCCAGATATACACATTTTAGATGTGCATTGATATACGTGATATTTGTATAAATAGTCCTGCTCTAGGATGCTGAATGTACTATGCTGAATTTCAAAGTTTCCTCTCAAGGGCCAAATGGTCTGAAGACAGATTCTCTTCCCATTCCTGGGACAAAATAGAGGTGAAGCAGCTCTGTGTGGTATGTCTGAATGCAAAGTAAAACAAGGGTAAATCGTGTCTATGGAAAGCAAGTTAAAATATTGGCCAAAAGCATTACAAGCATTATATGAAAGTCTCATTCAAGAGAGTTCTAAACAAGAACAGGATGAATTTTGAACCTGTCTTTTGTGATATATTGAGTAGAGTACTTTCCAAATCTTGTGTGAACTTCTTCTTTTCGTGGTTAAAAGTAAAAATACTAATGATAATAGTACAAATACTAGTAGATAATACTATCCAATTTCCCTACCAAATTGAAGACATAATATATACATATATAGTTTAGTAATTAAGACCAGAATGAATTTGACTACCTTTAAAAATATAAAAGTCTTTTTCTCATTGATATTGTAGTATACAATTTTTCTTTCTCTCTATGGTAAAGCCCATCCAGATTACAGGTAAAAGTGTCAATGCATTATTGTTCACTTAATTTTTACTACTGATCTTCTGTTTAATTTGATACTCTTTCCTTCTTTTTATTTTGATCTTAATAGAATGAATTTAAGGACTTCTCACTGAGGTGGACAAAGAAATTTTGTCACTTTGACAGAGCAGGGCAAACCAAGTTGGCAGACAAGTTACCTGAAGAAAAAGGGAGGTAAGGCAACATTTTGTGTTAAAAAGGAGAATATGTTGAAATAAAATGTATCCAATCAAAGCATTTATATAAAAGCTCTCCTTTATAACAGCACTTGGTGGATTTGCTTTGAAAGAAATTTATTGTTAGTGCTGAATTTGGAATTGGGATTTTTATCAGAAGCATGATCATTTTAATATTTAATAATATTAAACAGGTAGAGTCCTTTTGCATATTGATTGGTTTATATTATTTATTCATACATGTTTACCCTAAAAGAAAGCTTCAGCATTAAAATTGTCTTTAAAAATACATTTAAATTCATTTGTATTAGAAATTAGTTTACTGAAGAATCAATTAAGAATAAATACGTGAGATAGTTTAAAAGCCTGTTTTTAAAAGCACTGTAGATGAATTCTGAAGTTAATTCCTACAAACACTGGAAAGTAAAGAATTAAGTTGTCCTTGGGAAAAACCTATTAAAAATAATTTATCTCTATATGAAGTAGCTTGTCTTCTAACAATTACATATTTGTACACATACATCTTAATATATCAGTAAGAAAAAAAATTCTTAAGGCCCTTTTAGGGTATTATTTAACCCAAGTTGTCTTTAAACCGGGCATATTAAAAAAAATACACAAAAAGTCTCCTAAAACATAAAGCTGGCGATTGCCCCCTTATATCACAAAGCTGTGACTCAGAGGCCGTGGTACAGCGACTAATAGAAATCCTTGGCACACGTTGGCTACCTAAGGGAATAATAGAACTATTTGCTGGAGTCGTTTGGCAAAAGGACACAAACATATGGCTTTGGTTTATATTCAGCTTTGCCAGTTGTGTGAAGTTACAGGATGAAGTCGACAAAGCAGTGACAACTCAGAAATGAAAAATGAAACTCAAAATAGACAAACTTCCTTATAAAGCTACACAAGCTTGTGTCAGGTCGAAGATTTCTTTTACTGGAGTGCATTTCCAAGTGACTCTGGAAATCCCTGTGAGAATCACTTCCTCTAAGGGGAATGGGAATGAAATTGGCTTTCAGAAAGAAGAGTTTTCCAGAGAACTGTACTTGCTCTGATGGTGGACTAAGTCTGTCTCTTCCTTAGGTGTAGTTTTTGTCAGGGTGGGAAAGATTAGAGCAGACAAGAGAGGTATTCTAAATCTAAAGGGGACACATCATTCTATTCCTTAGCTTTCTGTGCAGAACCAAAGGTAGTATAATAAGAAACATATAAGTAGGAACAGGGAGTTGGAATCAGGGATAAAGATAAAAGATTCAGAAAATTTTCATTTTATCTAGAATAAGGGATTTAGAGAAGGTAGAGAAAATTAACATGGTATCTTGAATGATGCAAAAAACAGTTTTTATTAGTTTACATTTTTTAAAAATTCATTTTTTGATGTCCTCTCTCTGAGCAAATAAGAAACATATGAAAAGAAAACCAGAAAAGAAAAAAGAGGGTTAAAAGAGAGAAAACAAATACTTGAACATTCCATCTCAATATTCTCTCAACAAGAAAACTATTCTTTTAGTATTAGAACTCATGTTCCCCATCCATTCCCTGTATAAGAGGGAGACAGCTTTTGTTGCCGCTTTGGGCTGATCCAAACCTGTATTTAAAAGAAAATGATGCCAGAATCCACAAAAGAAAGGGCACTCAGTGTAAGGTTCTTTGTTCTTCAATCTGGCCAAATTTCATTCTAAGATACTGGCATCCTCCAGTTGTTTCATTTTCTGGGTTTAGCCCTTTCCAACTTCCTGAGTTTCTCTTTGTTATTTTTTTTTAAAACTGAATTTTGTAAAGGAAGCATCCACTGAGGATAAAAGGCTCCTCATGGAGAGGACCCCAGGACCTCTTCTCAGCAGCCATAGAGCTTCCTCTCTCCATTGCCACGTGTTCCCTGGGATTGAAATGACATCTAACAAGAGTCATGTGGCACAACCTACAAAAATGCATTGCCAGTCCAAAGCTCTGAGGAGGGAAACAGAATGAAATCTTGTTATAAATGGAAATTATTGCAAGTTGAGTGTATATGAAGGACTTCTCAAATTAAGGTAGCTACCATCATAAGATTATGTGTAAGTAGAGTATGAAGTTTAATTGTATCAGGATTTTGAGAAGTTGTGCTCAAAATGTTATGATCACTATGGCTTTTTGTATTAATGTAACAAATTCAAGATTACTCATACGTATTTGTATCCATCTATCTATCATCTATCTATCTATCTATCTATCTAGGACACCAGTGTCTATAGTTCTATTGAAAGGAAAAATAAAACTTCAATATCACCAAAAGATATTTTTTATCCAGTTTTTAAGAAATGATTAAATATTTATTGGAGAATTTTTTTTTTTTTTACCATTAGGTTAAAGTAGGATTTTGAGTGAAAAATAAAATCAAAGGGAACTAAATTTCCTCACATAGCAGTAATTTGTTTGTGTGACTGAAAACAAAATTGATTTTATAAACTTTGTGTCCTGTTCCTTGAGGCTCTCCTTTCTACAAACCAACAATTTCAGGACTTTCTCTTCAGCTCAGAGGAAGGCTCCCGATCTATATACTGGGTGATGTGGACAGGAGATCTGCTGATTGCCCCTGATGTGAGGGCCAGTAAGAAAATATGATCAAGTAAAAGCAACTAGGAATTTCCAATGGGTACCTGTATATAGGGTTGCAAGTATATAAGGATGTTAAGTAACAGGTTTCCAAATTCAACTAAGTAGTTAAATTTCATTTTTATGTTCATTTTTCTTCTTCATTGCCTATCTACTTACTTCTTATTGGATCTTGCGTATCCTTCCTGCAAGTTTCACTTCTTTGCCTTCTTTATCTCATAAGTTTCTTTCCCTCTTGCCATTTCTCCTCATATTAACTCCTCTTCCCAGAGAATGAAATCTTGTAAATTTTTTTTCATGGCTTTATTATGAATACCAGGTAAGAACCACTTTTTTCTCCTTTTCATATTTGTACATACAAATCTTCATACTTGGGGCACCTGGGTGGCTCAGTGGTTTAAGCCTCTGCCTTCGACTCAGGTCATGATCTCAGGGTTCTGGGATCGAGTCCCGTATCAGGCTCTCTGCTTGGCAGGGGGCCTGCTTCCTTCTCTCTCTCTGCCTGCCTCTCTGCCTACTTGTGATCTCTCTCTGTCAAATAAATAAATTCTTAAAAAAAAAATCTTCATACTTGTAGGCTAGGTGAATTTTCTTAAAGTAGTTTCAGATCAGGAAAAACAAATGGCAAAGCGTATTTTTAATATTTTATCTCTATTGAGAAGTAGATTATCAGAGCCAGGAAGAACCCATTATAGGAATCCCAGAAAATATCTTGACTTGTTCCCATTCATAAACAACAAAATGAGATAAACAAAGGTTCTAAGAAACCTGAAGAAGGACAGTTTTGTTTTTTTTTTAAAGGAAATCAGATCTCTGTTTTGAGAAAGGAAATGACTCATTAAGATTTGCCAGATTCATTGGAGACTTGTCAATAGCATTTGGGACTTCCGCAGTAAAAATGATCAAGTCTCCTCTTACAACAGAAAAAAAAAAAAAAATGTTCCCAGCGAGAAGTGTAGTTTCCCATATTGTAGCATGTATTAGTTAGGTCAGTCTCCTGAATCATGCCATAGCCATGGGCCTTCTCTATAGGTCTGGAAGAAGTTTAATGAGTGGGAATTTCACCCCTACCCCTGCCCTGCCACACTTACCCCATGCACTGAGGTAGAAATCTCTTTAATGCACCATTCCCAGCAAAAGGTACTCACTGAATATGAAGTTTGATTTTACAAAAATTAAGTCCAATTATTGGGAGTTTATTAAAATCCACAAAAATAGTCCATATAAAAGAATAGTTAGAAATTTCTCCTCCCATATATAAGGTTTTAGAAAACAAAGTCTTATCTTCAGATTGAGATCTGTCAGGAGAGCAAGCCATCTCATGAATGTTAAAAACTTCCACCCCTGAAAAGAAAGCACATTGCTTTATGTATCTGATCTTCTTATTCCTCAATGAACTATCAGACATGAGTCGACACTGAACTTAGTAACTTCTATTGTTCTTTGGTTGTGAAACAGAGAGAGAATTTGAAATCGATGGATTATATATTATGATCTCAATCCATTTCACTCATATAACTCGGCTCACAAGTTAAATTTGAAAACTTAGCTTTATGAATGAGTTACCAGTCTTTAAAATGTTTACATAGGATATATATGCTGTACCACCAAGAGGACAATAGCACCACAAAATGCAATTATGAGACTAGCATTCCAAGCATAATCAAGCAGAGGTCCATGAATATTTATGCATTCCTTCCAATGACTTTAATGGGGAGGCAGCTCATGGGGTGGCTGCAGACCCGTCAGGTCCAAGGGAATAACTGAATTGCAAAATGGAATTAGTCTTAAAGCTTTTATAAGGAAGGTTACATTTAAGTAGGTTTCTAAAACTTTTATATGTACCTGCTGGCACTGTTTGCAACCTGCATTTCAGTTTTGGTAAAGAAACTCATGGAGTTTAATCTTCACTTGCCTTTCAGGAGAGATTTTTCACATTGGTTAGGGAGAGCTCATAGCACCTGTGTGGCAGGAAAATATTAGAGTTGTGTTGAGTTGCTACTCACCCACGGGAGTAGTCTCCTCAGAAATAGTTCGTGTTTTTCATTGTTTTAATCCTCCTGCTACTGATCTCTCTTAACCGAGTTACTCATTTAACACATGGAGGGGAGTTTGCTTGAGTTGAGCCACTTTATATGCAACAGAGATACTCATGGAGGAGGAGGATTTCACAAAGCAGTGCTCACCATCCTGAGTAAACCAAGCCATTTTAATCCTAGGCAGTGTCGCATCTGTCATAAATTCATGTGGTTTTAAAAGAAGGAAAATCTACAGGAAAAAAAATCACCTCTGTTTTATTGTTGTTTCCTCTTATTATGTAGTTTTAAAATATTCATAATGATGGACCATTTTATTTAGACTAAAGCGACTGCAGCTTAGCAAAAGCAGTGAACACTTTTTGTTTGCTAATTTAAAAAACAGTTCAGAGATTGGTGTGGTGTTTATTATGAAATGATGACAAAAGAGTACTGGTGGTTTTAATAGTTTTAGCTTACAAGAGCTGTCGTTAATTTTGTCTGTAGTGTTGCAGGTGAAAAAATGCACAATGGATAAATAGTCTATATTGGTTTAACTGAACATAATATATAGTGTGTTCTGGAGTTGTTTGTCTCAATAGACTATGGTAATCAAAAGTAATGAACCTATTATGTGCAGGACCTTGGAGAGCGTCGAATGGCAGTAAAAGTGTGGCACATAAAAGGTTTATTAAAGGAAATTAAAGTCCATCATTGCCACACCTGCTCCCCTATTATAAGTCTATGGCAGGTCAGTGCCTTCAATCACAACTCAGCCTGAGAGCAGAGATGCGCCTCCCATTACCATTGCAGTCATACCACATACACGCTATGTCAGGATTTAAGGATGGGCACCACAGACAGCACCTTCTGCCTGCTTCTCATTTTCAAGCAAAATAACTTCTCACTGTTTAAGGATTCCTTCTGATAATGTGCAAAGGTGAATTAAACTAGACATTGTTGGAAGATTCTAGTGAAAACGATGGGAGTAGTCATGTCTGACTATCTCCAGAGGGACAAAAACAGCAGGCTTTTTAAAGTCTTTCTATTCTTTCAATAGTTTATTTGATTACATTTAAGATATTAGGTAATGATATTTTAGGGAGTTTGATGCAGACACATGCAGCACTCAAATTTCACTTTCCTCAGAGCTTTGCATGATTAGAACCAATATTTATTCTGGAATTCTGGGAGTAAATGTATGTCATTTGATGATTAACATTTCCAGTGGTATTTTGAAATGGGGGCATTTCAGTGATTGGCCTTCATGTTGCTTTTTTACACAGGGGATTACTTTTCCTGAAGTAGAGAGAGGTACATATCAGACAAGGTCTAGTAAAAATATGTTAAAAACTTCCACACCTGAAAAGAAAGCACATTGCTTTAGAAGCAGGTTTTAGTAAATTAGTCTGAAACCTTTTGGTTTGGCATTTGAGGTTTTGTCTACTTTACAACCACTGTTAATCAGACAATCCTTTTTTTTTTTTTTTCCCAATTTTTGTAATGCCAGAAGTGTTTGAATTGCTAGCAAACACTTATGGACAAGGACATCTGCCCTCTTCTCACTGTTCCCTCTGGTTTCAGCATCTATAAAAGTATTTCCAAAACTCATGGACTGCAAGAGCAGTCTCAGCTACTTACCTGCTGAGGCAGGGTGCTATTCAAGAGCGTGGAGGACTACTCTGTTTTTCATTATGACCTTCAGAACTGTCAAGGACTTGTTTTTGTAATTTGGTCAATGTCAAAGGAATGACCTCAGGACTTTGTGTTCATGTTACAGATGGATGCAGAGGCTGAAGATAAAACACTGCGTACCCGCTCTAAAGGAACCAAGGGTGAGTTAGCAAGCAGGTTCCATGACACCGTGCCCACCACACCATGAAATATGGGAGTTCCAGTACTCAGTCCCTAATGTGTAGTTAGAATCATTACAACTTCCTCAGGGCTTCTTTTTTTAAATCAAGCTAGGACATTGGATCATGGCATTGAGAGGCAAAATATTATGAACCAGGAGCTAAAGGACTCAGAAAAGTCCCAATGATGTGTGATGCTAATTTTTACAAAATGGCAATCATGAGTAGATTTAAAACATCCTGCAAAACAACATAAGGGTCAGCAAGGGAAGAATGCTTCATGGAGACCTCCAAATTATTGAAGTGACCTTTAACAGCCAAGGGAAAAGACAGAATTGTTAGTTTATTGCCAAAGCAGATTTTGATTTTTATGTTATCTGGTTTAGTGGCTCCCAATCTAAACTTAGTTCGAGTAAAATGATGATGTTTGTTTTTTGCCTGTCCCTGCTGGGAATTTCCGGCAGCTCCGCAAAGTAATGTTTGAAAGGTTTAACTTGCTGGTTATCCTTCTCTTTTTGTAACCAACAGATGGTAATGTAATATTGAAATATAAACAGGCCCTTGATGATCTAAACATCTGGAAAACAGGATTGACTGGCAATAATACCCCTTAAGGAAAATAACTTTTATTATAATTAGCTATATTTTTGTGACCCTTAATACTAAATGGAAAACTGTAGTTTCACCATAGCCTCTGAAAACACTCTGGATAGCCATTCCCCACCTGACTCTTCTCCCAGTCAGCCTTGCTAAGGAAGGGTTTTTGAGATTTACTGTTGAAAGTGGGCTAATCAGATGAAATGCTTTCCTTAGCTATGTTTCTATTTGTAGTCAAGGTAAATAATGCCTGTTTGAGTAAAGTCCAGAATCCCAAAATTTTCAATAAATTCCAGGATGATTTTTTTTCAGTTAAAATATAACCATCTCAGTAAAAATCATTAGCTATGACAGCCAAAAAGCAGAATAATGCTTTACAAGATGCAGGAATTTTCTTTATCCAAACAGTAGTTTCATACCATGGTAGTACCCCGTTTTACTTCAAGTTATATTTAAAGTAATTACATCATATATCCCAATATTTGGAATGCAGTAGTTCTTTTTTTTTTTTTTTAAAGATTTTATTTATTTATTTGACAGACAGAGACCCCAAGTATGCAGAGAGGCAGGCAGAGAGAGAGAGAGGAGGAAGCAGGCTCCCTGCTGAGCAGAGAGCCTGATGCGGGGCTGGATCCCAGGATCCTGAGATCACGACCTGAGCCGAAGGCAGAGGCTTAACCCACTGAGCCACCCAGGCGCCCGGAATGCAGTAGTTCTAAACATTAAATTTTTATGCCGCAAACTTCTCAATAGAATACAAGTTGAAGGAAAAAAAATGATTTGCATTGTTATTTAGGATAAACTTGCATCTGCCATAAATACCAGCATTCTAGGGACTGTGTTTGAATATGAATCCCTTCTTTTGACTTCTAAAAGCACACTATTCTAGCATACTTTTAAATGTGGGTCTTTTAATTTGCAATTCTTTTTGTACTTTGAATTCTTTTGGCACATAATATACACCCTTAAATAGAGCCAAAATGTTCTTCTAGAAATGAAACAACTGTTTCTCGTGTGTCATGAGTAATCTTTAAAACCACCTGTTGTCTTTCTCAATATGCTGCTTATCCTTGTGTAGGCAGGTATTTATAAACATGAACTTCTTTAATTCCCATCACTTGTCAGAAAAAAATCAAAGCTTTTTTTTTTTTACAAGATTCTTATTTTTAAAACCATGTTGATATTAACATGGCTAAAGCATATTTTCCTCTTTCTATACATATGAAATTTATGGAATATTATCTTGGGATGCATCCACTTAGTAAAACTTTCCATTTTGTATAAATACTTGTCTAATATCAATAAAAGTGTCATCTTAGGATTATTTTGAAACATTTCATATGAACAATAAAATTGATTTAAAAATAATTCAAGTCCTTCATGTTCTTGTAAGTTTTCAATGAATTTTTAAAGACAGATATTTGTATTTGGAAAATCAAATCCATTAATGCAAGGTCCCAGAGTCATCTAAGGCACTCAATCCTGAATCATCTGTTCTGGACCATATTCATCTACCCACTGGTATTCACTCCAAAGAACCAGAACCAGAAATGATCCTATTCCTACCCAATAGGAAGTTAAGTGGGGTCTGTATTAACCATTTATTGGTCATTATTTTTAGATGGGTGAAAAGTTTCAGTCATACAGTTTTCAAAACTAAACTGATTTTTCTTTCTTTTTGTCAACAGTGCCAATAGATTCTCTAATTCAGGAGCTCAGGTAAGATTTGTCCCATGTTACTTTTTCTAGTATCAGTTGGCTTTAATTATTAGAAGGTTTTTGTACATTTCAAACCTGAGAATCCCTGTGGTAGTAGGAGGAATAAGCCAACAAGCTTATTTGTCTATGTTGCAGAGGAGAAGAGAAAGGGAGAAACCACCCGTAATTGGTTCAAAACAATTAGGGCTCCCATTTTGATAACAAAACACAACATTTTGCTATAATGTAGTTTCCCACTTCCCTCCATGGAGTGTTTGCCCACTTTTGTGTCCATACCTCGCCTGTGGTTGGTTTGTGCACTGGTGATGAGTGAAGAACTGAATTGCCATCTGTGAGCCTGATTAAAAAATGACCCAAGTCCCAAGTTCTCAAGTTTTTGTTTTAAATAATTAGATAACTCTATCATATAAATTTTTAACTGTAGACATTGGAAGATAGTAGGTTTGTGGGTGTGTCCATGCATTTTCACCTTAGAGACTATTAATGTACCTAGGACAATGTTATGGAAATTCCATCATAGTAGGTTTTGCAGAATAAACCCCAATTAATTGTGGAGTTTGTTTTGTTTTGTTTTTGCAGAGTTTCTTTCAAGACGTAATTTATCTTTTTTTTAAAGTACATTTTTAAAAGGAAACACATGCTGACATACATATTTTGTATAAGTGATATTTTTTAGAGAAATTGTGTCAGGAGCAAGATGAATCCTTTGTCCCTTGTCCCTTATTTGCTATTGCAAACCAAGTCTCAAACCTTTTAATCCACCTTTCTGAAAACAACAATGGTCTATATGTGTTCCTCAGGGAAATGTTTGAAAACAGGAAGTTGTATAACAGCGTTTGATACACTTTGAAATTTACACTGTATCCATGAACAGTTTACATGGCTATTTTTCCAGGCAACTGTGTTCTGTGATTTCCTGAAGAAAAGGCTCTCTTAGTTACTTCCATGTTTCAGAGGATTCATTCTGTCACAGTTTTGGTACACTTATTTAGTGGAATACATATCTATCAGAATGGAGTACAAGCTTTCATGCTAATGCCCTTCTCTGTGGAAATCTGTTAGTAGGGAATCCCCGGTCCTGCTTATATTTTCAATTTCATGATTGAGAAGTTTACATTTTACATTTTAAATTTCTTGAGCAGAAAGGAGAATGCACCCACATATCAGGACAGGATTAAATGAATGAAGTGTCTGACTTGCTTAATCACTTGTTTTTAAATCTTCTCTCATTTAAAATTCCTGTTTGGAGACTTTATGTTCCCTATAGAATTATCAAGAGAAGTTTAAAATGATCAAGGGCTTAAAGTGCATGAGATGTTTTCCTATTAATCAATAGTTTCCTAGCGGTCCAATCAAAAACAGGGTACCCAGGAACTCGTGGTCTTCCCCAACTGTTGAAATAACTATGTCTCCAATCAGTCTTTTTAGGGACTCAAACCATTCTTGGAAGGGAAGTGGGCCTTTTGGTGATATGTCTTGAAAAATAACTTAAAAAGAAAAGAGAATTTTGAAGGAATGAATGAGTGTGTGTTTTGGCTTAAGGAGAAATCTGTAATTCATAGAGGAAAAGGGAGGAATTAGCAGAGAGAAGCAACTTTGTAGGAAAAAAAATGTCTAATATAAACTTCTTGGAGAAATAGAGATTACTATTTAAGCACACTGTTAGCTTTAGTAATTGCAATAAAACTAATAGAATATTGAGGTCTTGTCGTGTACCAGACATTCTTAAGCATTCTTCGTCACGCTACTGTCTCATTTAATCTTCACAAGAACTTTATAAGGTAGGAACTATGGTTTTTCCAATTTTCAGATGAAGAAAATGAAAATAACTAGTCCAACATTATACAGCTAGTAAGTAGTCCAGAATTCTGACTGAGGACAGGTTCTTAACCCCCAAGCTATGCTTTTCTCATACACAATACTACTCATCTAGAATACAATTTAAAAAGAAATGGCTTATTCATATTGTCAGCAGCTGGATTTTTGAAATTCTATATTTTAACCCTTAAGGCCTATTTTTCAACAGTTTAGGTGTCTGGAATTTGAACAAAGAAGATGTTATGATTAAAAGTAAAAATATTTCCTATTTTCCTAATTCTCTATGAGTTATTTTTTGTCAGATATTCAATTTTACCTAATTTGTCATCAGACCAACTCAGAAAGCTGGTGATAATTGCTGGGAAAATTCACTAGCAAACCCAATTCACCTATTTTTCTTTAATAAGAACAAGTTTATAAAAATTACTAACTGATTTTTTAATTTTATAATTACTTACTTTCAACAGAATATTCATGCTTAGGCCAAATAGATTCCAAATTGTTTCTTACATGATTTAAGTTGACTCAAGGGTAGACTTGAACTATCATTCTACGTAAATCTTGGGAAAGCATTCCGATTTATATAGAAGGTTGTATTTTTAGTGTCTTTGACATTTTTGTATGAATTTATTCATTTGCTACAATTGCTCCTCCAATTTATTCTGCAGATTTGTTGTGCTCTAGAACCCAGAATTTTTGTGCACCTGAATTCTGAGTATCTTAGGATATGTGGCACATTTTTCCCAGTGTAAAAGTTATGGCCATTTTCTAGGGAACATTGGCAACTTTATTTAGTTCTTCTTTTTAGAATGCATTGGACATGTTATTGCTTCTAGACCTACTACTTACAAAAATACTTATACAAATGAAGCTAATTTAAATATACTGTATATTGTTCATGACACTAATAAAAATTGATAGTGACATTCTCATCTTCTTATTATACTCTATGTCAGCTACTATCATCACCATTAAAAAAGCAATTTATAACCACAGGCCCACCTTTAATCACATTCCTTATTAGCATTTCCAGTCTTTCCTCCAAAACAATTCAGGTTACAGGTGATGTCAAGAAGGCATTCTCATGTCTTTCTAAATCATGACCATTGTATTATCTCTGCTTTTCTTTTATTACTATTATCCTTAATCTGATCTGAATGCTATTGCATCTACTAATATTGGTAATTGTCTCATGCATTGGCAAAATGTTTTACACCAGTCCAGCCCTTTCCTCTAATTAGGAAAATATATTCTAGCCTCTGAAATGGCTTTCCTATGTGACTACTTAGAGACACAAATAAATTCAAGACTCTTAAGTGTATTAGAGTCAAATCCCACTGTCCTTTCATGGTCTTATTGCTGCTTACCAATTGGTTGGCAAGTTTTGTAATGAAAATTACCATTTAGTTGTCTCTTTTTACTTTATTTTATTTTATATAGTTTCTTTCTTCATTTAAGAACTGTATCATTTGGCATTTTCTTGTAAGTTTAAAATGTTAAGTATTTTTTTTAAAGATTTTATTTATTTATTTGACAGAGAGAGATCACAAGTAGACAGAGAGGCAGGCAGAGAGAGAGAGAGAGAGAGAGAGGGAAGCAGACTTCCTGCTGAGCAGGGAGCCCGATGTGGGGCTTGATCCCAGGACCCTGAGATCATGACCTGAGCCGAAGGCAGCAGCTTAACCCACTGAGCCACACAGGCACCCCAAAATGTTAAGTATTTTATAAAGTCTGTAATCAATAGGCTATAGATTTAATCATAACATTTAATCAGCATGTGAAAAAAATTATGACTTACATGGGACGCCTGGGTGGCTCAGTTGGTTGGGCAGCTGCCTTCGGCTCAGGTCATGATCCCGGTGTCCTGGGATCGAGTCCCACATCGGGCTCCTTGCTCGTCAGGGAGCCTGCTTCTCCCTCTGCCTCTGCCTGCCATTCTGTCTGCCTGTGCTCGCTCTCTCTCCCTCTCTCTCTCTGACAAATAAATAAATAAAATCTTTAAAAAAAAAAAAAAGAAAAGAAAAAAATTATGACTTACAGATTTAGATGGTTTTCTCTTTTTTCTTCTATCTTATTTCATTCACAAGAGTTTTTATATCAATTAAACATTTTACTTAATACTTAATACTTAATAGCTTTCTTCCCTATTTTGGGGTGGGGCAATAGAGTTTCTTTTAATAAGTATGATTTTATTGCAACTACTTGTTGCACAGAGACTTCTGGAGATGACAACTAAAGGAAATAAAATAGACAGAAGCGGGTTTCTAAAGTTAAGAGTTCCATAAATCCATCATCCAGGTTAAAGGAAATAAGTAGCTATAATTACAAGGTTGGATAAAAGAAGGAACAAAGACTCTTTTTTTTTCCCCTTTCATTCCTATGATTTCCAAATGCAGGGCTCAGTTCATGTTTTAGATTTTTATAATGTATCTGTTACATTTGTGTTAGCAATATGTCTTTCTAAATATTGTTGCCAAGCCTATAAATTAGAATCCAAAAGCCTGACACCTTAAAGAAAACTCGTTTTATGATAGGCCACTTTGGGTGCAAGTGAGACTGATTAGCAAAGCAGCAGATGAGAAGGATTAGATGTAGAAAAGTGTCCACCTTGGGGTGCCTTCCTCATCCTCATCTCTGGGTAGTGGGTAGGCTGTTGTTGGACATGGGACACTGAGGCATAGGATGAGTTCATCACTCCAGAGAGATCATTTTGTTTACTCTACTGTACTTACTAGGGTAAGAGAGTGTCTTGAAATAGATTAGGGAAACTTCCAATAAGAATGAAATTTTTAAAAGAGTTTGTTCTGTAACAAGAAAATTCCATTAACTGTAATTCTGTCATACATTTATGTGCTTACGTAGCCTTTAATAGCATTTAGCCCTGAAACTGCCATTGAGTGGGCCTGCAAAATGTGCCTGTCTAGTGAGTGGTTGAAAGAACAAGTAGTTCTAATTGGATCCATACAAGCCGCCTGGAGGGGCAGTCAGGACAAACGACATTAGCTACGTTTAGCTTCTGAGCCGAGTTTGGGGGAAGTTAAGTGATTTATACAAGATGTCTGAGTAGTAAGTGACTGAACTAGAAGTAGAACTTAGGTCCTGTATGGGGTCCAGGGCACATCCCACTCTTCCCAGTACCCGATGCAACCTCTATATTATTTTCCGCTACTGCAAGCCCTCAC